AACATCTTTGCAAAATGATCAATTCCAAGGCCATGTGATGTATTCCAGACCGAATATTTCAAGACCAATTTCTCCACGGTTGGTTTGATGCAAAATGTTCGAATGTTCAACGGAATACAAGAACCAAAATGGACATTTTCAATCACATTCGTTCGTATGCAAACTGAGGAATGGTACTGCTTCTTCTTCTTAACACATACTGTGAGTCGCCATATTGGAAGAAATAATGACAATACACTATAAATATTCAATATGGCCGCTTCCATTGTGCACGATTATGTGAACGATAGTGTGAAGAAGAAGAAGTAGTAGCATGCACAAAAAGTGTATTGGTTTTCATACGGATGATCACATTGATTGTGATCTTTGTCCATCCATACTATTTCGATTTCAGTGACTCAATAAATGTTCAGTAATTCATTTCCTTCGTATATTTATTTTCAACCAAAAATAATTTTGGCAAAAAAGAGATTCACATGAATTTAACGAACATTTTTGAATTGAACTCAACGAATTTGCTCAAAAGAGAGCTACCAATTGACATGAAGTGTATACGTTCGACGACGTTGTCAACTTAACGAAAAGTCATCAACACACACAGGAAGCGTTTGCATCGCAGTATCAATGCTGTAGGATACGCTGAGCTTGCCATTGTTCAGTGAGTCACAGAGTGAGGCAGACATTTTGGAAGAGACATATACAAGAAAAAATCAATTTCACATTTACCAGAAAGAAACGATCAAAAGAACATTTCTCGACGTAAGTGTTGAACATTTCTGCTATTTATTTTTATGTTCGGTTTATGATTCTGTTTTAGAAGTGACAGATCGATTTGGTATTCATAAAAATTGTCAAACAAATTAACATGAAACAGCGTTTGAGTACACATATGTACTTTTTCTTGGCCATACACGCGGCGAACACGTGTTTTGCATGGAGTTGATTCATTATTAAATGTTTGATTTTTCATGTTTCTCTTGAATCCAACAGAAAATGAACCCATTCAAAAGTGGTTCTGGTGGACGCAGCAAGCGCAAGCCGAAATCGGCAAAGGTTGAAGTCAAGCAAGAGCCTGGTATTAAGGAAGAGCCCAACGACGGTGACGATGTCATGAACATACCAAGGCCGAGAGTTGATAGAAGATATCGTGCGAATTACGAGGGACTGGTCGACTTTGGCTATGACTTCAATGAAGTAAAAGATGAAATTAAATGTGAAGAAGAAGAGACGGGCGAAGAAAAAGACTCGACACCACGTGAACGATCTAATGACGGAGCTGCTAACGATGATGACAATGAAGATCCAATGGGTGATGCAATCGATGTGCAACCACCACAAGCAGTTGGTAGTCAAAAGAAACGGAATGAAAGTTCCAAACGACGAAACAAACGAACGATTCCCAGGAACCAAGCGGCCAAGAAGCAAAAGAAGCACAAGTGTCATGTGTGCAATTATTTGGCAAATAGAAAGTTTAACCTCAAAGTACACTTGCGAATTCACACCGGAGAAAAGCCGTTTCAGTGTGATATTTGTTTGAAGTTCTTTGCACGAAAATATGTCTTGAACAGGCATAAGAAAACGCATGGCCAATGTCGTTGCGTAAAATTTAATAAAGGATTTGAGCAGGAATCAGCCAAGATCGACCACGATTTGTTATGCAATCCATGTCGATTCGAATGTGATGTTTGTGGATATAGAACAATCAACAAATCAGATTTGATAAGACATATGCGAACTCACACCGGGGAAAAGCTGTTCAAGTGCACAATTTGTTTCAAGTCGTTTACAACCAACGCCAATCTCCAAAGGCATTCAAGGACCCACAAAGTTGAACTCCCGAATGCTTGTTCGAAATGCGGCCGACGATTTGCCACTCCAGAAGAGAAGCAAACACACGAAACGCCCTGCCAACGAAGTCTTTATGCATGTAATCAGTGTCATTACAAAACTTTTCGCAAGCATCATTTGAAGCTGCACATGCAATCAAAACACGGAGCCAAGCGGTCGATCAAATGTGAAATTTGCGCAAAACAATTTGTCCAACAGATCAGTTTAAATCAGCATTTGTCTACAGCACACAGCGATCACTTTCCATTCCAATGCTCCAAGTGCTTCGGAGGATACGTAACTGAAGATACGAAAATTGCTCATCAAGATAACTGTGGCTACCGTCAGTATCAATGCCATCGGTGCAAAGAACTTTTTCGTTCTAAACAAATGTTGAAGATCCACATGCGAAAAGATCACACCGGAGAGCGAATTCAATGCAAAGTGTGTGCAGTAAGCTTCACCAATGAAAGTAATGCTAACACACACATGAAAAATGTTCACCATTTGAACAAATGATAAATCTTGAATAGCGTACATAAGTCCATAGATTTATTTAACAAGTAGTTGAGCTGGAATCGATTTTTCATTCGACGCCTTTGGATAGACACATTAACTGAACTTACACTCTCATACACTTGAAACAATCCCAATTTAATTTAATATTTTTCAATAGAAAGAATTCATGGGCACCGGGATTTTCGAATGAAACAAAACCGAAATAAATTAAAACAAAAAGAGAAGAAAAGAGAGTTTTATTTCTGTCCTTATTTTTACACCAATTATCTTAAGGAATGGTAAATGGCGTTTGGCAAATGTGTTGAAACAAAATCAACTCTGCACTTTGATTGAGTTTTTATGATAATGTTTCGGATTCAAAGCGGGCTTCGTTCACATTGTACTCAAATAGTTATAAAGTTTTATTCTAAGAATTTTCAAACAAAAAAAGGAATGTTTACCAATTCAATCAATGCCATATACAATTTATTGATAAGTTTCAACAAAAGCTTCAATTCTTGTTATTTCTTCTTTATTCTTTCAGTGAAAAGTTCTTTAATTTCATATGAAGATATCGTAAAATTTACAATTTCACAACTTCAATATCGTTTGCTGAATTATCACAGATTTTTAGTTCGAATAACAAAGCGATCATTGTTTTTGTAAAGCAAAACGATTACATAGTTCGAAACATTTATTTTCACCAATTGGAAATTGGAATTTGAAAAAAGAAAACTGTGCATGAAATCAATTGACATTTTTGAATTGTTCCTCATTTGTTAATTGACAGCTAACAATGGAGATGAAGTGTCACTTTGCATCGTTGAGAACTTAACGAAACACACCAATACAAATAGCAAGCAAGCAAGCAAGTGTGTGGCTTTTATGTGTCGATGCCGTAGCTTACAGACTGTACGTTGTTCTATATGGTTTCATCGAACACCGAGTGAGGCAGACATATTGAGAGATCCGTGAAAAAACACTTTCAGTAGAAAAAACTGACGATTGACGTAAGTGTTGAACATTTTTCATGTATTCGGATGTAATTTTCTTAGTTTAAACAGATGTAAGTGATTCGGTCATAAATGTGAAAAATCATGAATGCACACTTCGTGTGTACTTTTGTTTTGCATAGACGCGTCAAGCACATGGTTTGCATTTAGATGAAACACAATTGAATGCCTGAGAATAAATGTAATTTCTGTAGTATTCGCAGAGCGAAACGACACAAAAATGATTCGCATTTCAAAGCGACACAAAATTCTGTTATCCGGTCAATAATTTACACACTGTCTGTGTTCCGCTTTGTTCTGAGGACACGACAGCGTGTCGCTTGGTTCGAGTAACCAAATATTGTGTCGTTTTGAAATGCGACGCACATCCATTGCTCACATTGAACCGATAACTGAGCATGGGAAGTTTGTATGAAAACCTCGGAGCGCCGCTGGTATTGCATTGGCTTCTATGGCCAAATGTACACATGGAAATATCTCGAAAACGGCTGGGTTAATCGGCAAAACGGACCGTGATGTCACTCCCAAAGGGAGTGCAAACACCCGGCTGGTTTGACGGCCTAGAATACAAATCCGGTGGAATTTGGGCTGATCCATGGAATCTCAGGATTTGACCTGATTCTAGCACTTCAATTTCTTTCATAACAAAACAAAACATAGGTAGAATGTGTTTACAGATGCACATAAAAAAGGAAGCACTGGAATCTGGCCAAATCCTGAGAATTCATGGATCAGCCCAAATTCCACCGGATTTGTATTCTAGGCCATCAAACCAGCCAGGTGTCTACACTCCCTTTAGGGAGTGACATCACGGTCCGTTTTGCCGATTAACCCAGCCGTTTTCGAGATATTTCCATGTGTACATTTGGCCATAGAAGCCAATGCAATACCTCCGAGGTTTTCATACAAACTTCCCATGTTCAGTTATCGGTTCAATGTGAGCAATGGATGTGCGTCGCATTTCAAAACGACACAATATTTGGTTACTCGAACCAAGCGACACGCTGTCGTGTCCTCAGAACAAAGCGGAACACAGACAGTGTGTAAATTATTGACCGGATAACAGAATTTTGTGTCGCTTTGAAATGCGAATCATTTTTGTGTCGTTTCGCTCTGCGAATACTACAGAAATTACATTTATTCTCAGGCATTCAATTTAGTTATTATTTAGTTATCGATACTGGATTTTAAGTTTTTTACATTGATTTTTGATATTATTTTTCTGAATCAATCAGGAAATGAACCCATTCAAAGGTGGTTCTGGTAGACGCAGCAAGCGCAAGCCAAAATCGGCGAAGGTTGAAATTAAGCAAGAGCCGGTGATTAAGGAAGAGCCCAACGACATTGACGATGTCATGAACATACCACGGCCGAGAGTTGATGGAAGATATCGTGCGAATTACGAAGGGCCGTTTGACTTTGGCTATGACTTCAATGAAGTAAAGAATGATATCAAGTGTGAGGAAGAAGAGACGGGCGAAGAAAAAGACTCGACACCACGTGAACGATCAAATGACAGAGCTGCCAACGATGATGGCAACGAAGAGCCAATGGATGATGCAATTGATGTTCAACCACCGCAACCAGCCGGCAGCGGGAAGAAACAGAATGAAAGTTCCAAACGACGGAACAAACGAACGATTCCCAGGAACCAAGTGGCCAAAAAGCAAAAAAAGCACAAATGTCATGTGTGTAATCATTTGGCAAGAAACAAGTCTAAACACATGCAACACTTGCGAACTCACACCGGAGAAAAGCCGTTTCAGTGTGATGTTTGTTCGAAGACTTTTGCACAGAAACAAGCCCTTAACCGTCATAAGAAAACACATGACCAATTTCGTTGTTCAAAATGTAATCAAGGATTTGGGCAAGAATCAGACAAGATCGATCATGAAAGGCTATGTAGTCCTCAGCAATTCGAATGCGATATTTGCGGACATGGAACAATGCACAAATCAGATTTGATGAAACATATGCGAATTCACAGCGGAGCAAAGCCGTTCGAGTGCTCAATTTGTTTCAAGTTATTTGCAACCAAGGATCATCTCCAAAGACATTCGATGACTCACAAAAATGAACTGCCAAACGCTTGTTCGAAATGTGATCGACGATTCGCCTCATCTGATGATAAGCAAACACACGAAACACGCTGCCAACGAAGTATTTTCGCCTGTAATCAGTGTCATTACCAAACTGTTCACAAGCATTGTTTGAAGCTGCACATGCAATCGAAACACGGAGCAAAAAAATCGATCGAATGTGGAATTTGCCGAAAAGAATTCATCGAACAGATTAAACTAAATCGGCATTTGTCTACAGCTCACAGTGACCTGTTCCCATTCCAATGCTCCAAGTGCTTCGGAGGATACGCAACCGAAGACGAAAAAGAGGTTCATGAAGATACCTGTGGCCACCGTCGGTTTCAATGCCATTTGTGTAAAGAATATCGTCGAGACAAAGAAAAATTGAAGATTCACATGCAAAAAGATCACACCGGAGAGCGGATTCAATGCACAGTGTGTGCAACAAGCTTTACCACAAAAGGTAGTGCCAATCAACACATGAAAACAGTACACCGTTCGAAGAAGTGACAAATCATGCATCGCATATATGCATAAATCCATAGATTCATTAACAAGTAGTTGAGCTGGAAATCGATCATTCATTTGATGCCTTTGAATGACTCGTCAACTGAACTTACACTTTCGTACGCTTCAGTTTGGAAGATCATTCAATATTTTTCAATAGAAAGAATTCATGGATACTACCTTAGATCTAAGCTCCATTTTCGTATGAAACAAAACCAAAATAAAACGAAACAAAAAGAGAAGAGAATTTACTTTTATTTCTGCCCTTATTTTTACAGCAATTTTCTTGATTAAAGAATGAAACGAATGGTGTTTTGAAAAATTGTTAACATAAAATCAGGGCTTAGGAATCGCACATTCAGTTCACAGTACAACTCATTTCAATGAGAGTCACAGCGCTCGTGTGCGATGCTTTTCTCATACAAACTGAGTTGTGTGCGCACACCGTTCATTTACTTCTCTTTTGCTTCGTTCGGATCTTCGTTCGTCCGAAAAAATAAGAAGAAGAAGAAGAAGAAGTAGGTTCAACATAACCGAAATACAGGCACAAACATGTGCGTGTCTGCTGTGAGTATTTGAGCGCACATTGGTAAACTCATTTGTATTTGAGAATTTGTGAACAGTTCGTCGTCCATTCGTGTGCGTATAGCGCACACCAGAAGTTACAATAGCATTTGTTGCGTTTGCGAGTCATGCCTAATTCTGCGATACAAATTTGTTTACATTTCCACATAAACACAACGAATGAGATTCTTATTGTTTGATTTAAATATCTCTCTATCACGCGGAATGAAAGCATCAAAACGTTCGTCGTTTCAATCGAATTTGCTGTCAATTCTCGGTCATCCGTTCTGTTTCTTTGCTTTGTCTCAATAAGTATTTTGCAAAACTTGACTTTTACTCAACTATCACAAATTTTCAATTCGAAAAGCAGGATGATCATTATTTTCAAAGAACAAAACGTTTCGTTTCAAAAAATTTATTTCAACAAATTGGAAATTGAAGAAGAGAAATGTTGCACAAATTGAACCGACATTTTTGAATTGAGTCCTGAATTTTCTCAATTGACAGCTCATAATGGTGATGGAGTGTATACACTGGGCGTCGTTGAGAACTTAACGAAACACACCAATACAAATTTCACGCGAGCAAGTGTGTTACTTTTAGCATCGATGCTGTAGCTTACAGACTGTACGTTGTTCTAGATTGTTCTTCACCGAATGAGGCGAACATCTTGCAAGTTACGTGGAAAAAAAACATTTTCAGAAGAAAAAAGGCGACGATCAACGTAAGTGTTGGATATTTTTCATTTATTCAGATGTCATTCTTTGAGTAAATAATTTTGTGATTCTGTTGTAAATGAGATAAATTAACAGGATTTTCATAGAAATCGACAACCAATAATCTAAAACGCCGGCTTATGATAACTTAAAACATCGCTCTGAATCTGCTCACAAGTCAGCTACTCATGGAGATCAAGTGACATTGTTCACAACTCAACGAAAGTCACCAACACACGCAAAAGTGAGTGTGTGAATATCAGCATCGATGCTGTAGGTTGTCGTGAGCTTGGTATTGTTCATAGAGCCACAGAGCTGGGCAGACATCTTGGAAGACGATACACGCAAAAAAAATTATTTCCGCGTGCAGTAGAAAAAGGGCATCGACAGAACATTTCACGACGTAGGTGTTGAATATTTTTAGTTATTTATTTCGATGTTATGTTCAGAACTACGTGATTATATTTAGAAGAAATGAATCGATTGTATTTTCACGAAAATTGACGAAAAATAGCCTAGTACATAAACGTGTGCGTACATTAGGCTAGGGGAATTTAACTCTTACGAGTTCAGCATGTTTTTTGCCAGTTTGCTTGATTCGCGGGAGTTCGACGCGTTCCTTGTACGTACTGACGCGCACGGTCACAAGTTTACACAAGTTTGTTTATGGTTTTGCGCGTTTTTCAAGTTGTTATTTGACAATTAAAACGCGTTTCAAGCTAAAAATCGGTTGTTTACGTGTATAAAGATTTTTATAATTATAAAATGGACAAAGGAAATATTTTTAAAGAGCTGGAGAAAGTGTTGAAGAAAAAGTTAATCCAGATATAATAAATGGAACGACTGATGTGTGCGCGTCGTCCAGCTACAAGTTTGCACACGAACTCGCGCGCGTTCGCGCATGTTGTTTTAATACGGAACTTGTCAACTGAGTGGAATCATGCAAGTTCTCTGGTGAATGTAACAATTTCGTGCGCGTTTATATCATTTTTTTACAAGTTTTCACGTAGTTAAATCCCCCTAGACATTAGGTGTGCAATTTTCTGTTGAACATAGGCGCATCAAACACGTGTTTTACATGAAGTTGATTCATTTATTAAAGTTTGATTTTCCTTGTTTCTCTTGAATCCAACAGAAAATGAACCCATTCAAAGGTGGTTCTGGTGGACGCAGCAAGCGCAAGCCAAAATCGGCAGAGGTTGAAGTCAAGCAAGAGCCGGTGATTAAAGAAGAGCCCAACAACGGTGACAATGTCATGAACATACCACGGCCGAGAGTTGGTGGAAGATATCGTGCGAATTACAAAGGATCGGTCGACTTTGTTTGTGACTTCGATGAAGTAAAGGATGAAATCAAATGTGAAGAAGAAGAGACGGGCAAAGAAAAGGACTTAACATTAATTGAACGATCGAATGACAGCACTACCGCTAACAATGGTGACAACGAAGGGTCAATGGATGACGCAATCGATTTTCAACTACCACAACCAGTCGGCAGTGGGAAGAAACGGAATGGAAGCCCCAAACGACGAAACAAACGAATGATTCCCAGCAATCAAGTGGCCAAAAATCAAAAGAAGCACAAATGTCATGTGTGCAACCATTTGGAAGATTGTAAGTCTCACCTCTTAAGACACTTGCGGACTCACACTGGAGAAAAGCCATTCAAGTGTGATGTTTGTTCGAAGTCCTTTGCACATAAACATAATTTGGTTCGTCATAAGGAAACGCATGGCCGATTCCGCTGTTCAAAATGTAATCAAGGATTTGAAGAAGAATCAGTTAAGATCGACCATGAACGATTATGTAATTCCCATAAATTCGAATGCGATATTTGCGGATATAGAACAATGCAGAAATCACATTTGACAGTTCATATGCGGATTCACACTGGAGCAAAGCCGTTCAAGTGCACGATTTGTTTCAAGTCGTTTGCAAGAAACACTCATCTCCAAAGTCATTCAATGACCCACAAAGATGAACTGCCGAATGCTTGTTCGAAATGTGCCCGACGTTTTGCCACTCCAGACGATAAGCAAACACATGAAACGCGCTGCCAACGAAGTCTTTTCACCTGTAACCAGTGCAATTACAAAACTGTTAACAAGGTCGATTTGAAGCGGCACATGCAATCAAAGCACGAAGCCAAAAGATCGATCGAATGTGAAATTTGCGGAAAAAAATTCGTCGAACAAATCAGATTAAATCAACATTTGTTTACCGCACACAGCGACCAATTCCCATTCCACTGCTCCAAGTGCTTCGGAGCATATGCAACCGAAGATGCGAAAGAGGTTCATGAAGATAGCTGTGGCCATCGTCAGTATCAATGCCATTTGTGTGAAGAGTATCGTCGAGACAAAGATGCTTTGACGATTCACATGCGAAAAGATCACACCGGAGAGCGGTTTCAATGCAAAGTGTGTGCAGCTAGCTTTGTTAGGATAAGTGATGCCAATCGATACATGAAAACAGTTCACCTATTGAAGGAGAAATAGGTCACTTATATCACAGATTTATTGAAACGATGTTAAATTTGAAATCATTATTTTATGATTCACTTCACACTTCAGAGACTTCTTTTCAAGAATTTGGACTCATATTCAAATGACATTTAGTATTCTTCTCATTCCATAAACTTCATGATTGCCCACTTTAGATTTAAGCTGCATTTTTTAATCAAATAAAACGGAAATAAATTGAAAAAGCAACAGAAAAAGAGAGCAGTTTTGACTTTAATTTCAGAGTTTATTTTTGCAGCAATTTCTTATTGGCTTACGAATGAAAGAAAAGTTGTTTTTGCCAAATGTGTTATATCAACGAGATCCCCTACGTTGCGTTCTAATCGAGTTCGCACATTTTTGTGGTATTACAGTTTCATAGCGTGATATTGTTTACAATTGCCAATATTAAAATGTTTGGCTTCAATTGATTTCCAATTGTATTCGTGCATCAGCTTCTCTTTTCCCAGCGTCTTCGATCGCAAACGCAAAATATTCTAGATTGCAAACGAAACCACATTCCTTTTGTACGAACCTTTTCCAATGAATTGTTGACTGGATAATTATGCTCGATAGATGAATGAATGGTTCAGAGCGTAGCGCGACTCTATTGGTCTCTCTAAAAAAACAGCGCACCCTTTTGGGGATCTATAGTTTTCTATGCAGAAAGTTGGCATTACTGCATCAGAATAAATACTGCATGAGGGCGCTGTGTACATGCGCATCCCAATATGTACAGTCAGTCAAAAAAGTATTCGGCCACTTGAATTTTTTTTTATTTTTGGATTTTTTCGTGTTATAAATGACAAAAACCGAACTATTTTCTATCTATTTGTTAAGTTTATAATCTGTTCTTATAAATTCAGGCCGATTCCGGAAATATTTAACATAATTTTTGCCTTTTCTGTAGCCATGTTTGTCGAGAGGTCGAAATTGTGCGCAAAAAAAGTATTCGACCAAACAGATTTATTTGAGAATTTCTACAAAATTTTCTATGAAATATCAACGTAGACGCTGCAAAACGATGAATTACTAATATTTACAGTGATTTCAAGCCATTTCACGAGTTTTCAAACATCATTGTGTCAGCTGCAGGGTGAAATTTGGCCGAATGGTAGTAGCGCCGGCCAATGGAAGATGTAGCGCCACTTAAAAAGAATTTTTTGTGATAAATATTTATGTTGAGCTATATAATCG